TTGGGCTTTAGCACAAATACTTATACACTATGCTAATTCAAGTCAAATTTTATATATAAATTCTGTATACACTATAATTTTATATATTTTATAGAAAGTTTATAGAACTTTATCTATTCTATAATATTATAACTAAAACCCATCCCAATAAAAATTATGATAGAAATGACAGATACTTTAAAGCAAGTCCTAAATGATGTTAATTACATTGAAAGAACAGTTTCAGTCATTTGTTTGTTTAACTTGAGATTGTCTGCCTGCATTGCTCGTGACGGCTTGGAGCTCGTGACCCTCCAAGCCTCCACAAGTCGCATCTTTATTGCATGCCTCTCCCACAACATGTAGTTATTTATGTCTTAGTTGTAAGAAAATAGGATAATAAGGTGTTGTTTTTTTTTAATTTTGAACTATTAACTGCACCTGCTTAGGATCTAAAACCAAAGTGAAAAACATAAGGCTTAACCCCACGTGCTCCCTGATCAAATGCAAAGTTTCTTAAAATAGCCTCATGTGGCTAGTGACATGAGGAGCAGCTGGTGTCACTGGTGTCCCCAGGCACAACCTGGCAGTCCGACGCTGCCGCCCAGGCAGCTGCCCTGTTTCTTTCCCTTCCTGGGCCAGCTGCAACAGCTTGAAGGAGAAGCCCAGAAGCAGCTTCACTTTACCCACTTTGCTATGATCTCCCGATTCCAGTTTTGTGGCCAGGACACCCCTAGATGCATCTTGATGATGCAGGATCTCCATTCCAACCCACAAATGAGAGAAATTCATCCAGACATCCCCCAAAATACAGCAAACTTTAAATAAGAGTACAGAAAAGAAAGATGGAAGAAAGGAAACGCGGGAGATGAAGTCTTGTGATTTTACTTGGTCACAGCAAATAGATGGTCCTGGCTGTATGAGGTGCCATACACTCAGTTCTCGTCTGTGTTAGTTAGCAGCTGTGGTGGTGTGTCTGAAGGTATGTCCTTCTGCAATGTAGAGGTTTCAGTATGAAGGGAAATCAGCCCTGAATGCAGATAGCACACCGTCTCCTGGACTTGATTCCAAGACTGAACATAAAATAGAGGAGGGAGCCAGGTGACCAGGAGCATTTATCTCTCTGCTGCCTGACCTCAGGACCCATTCCCATGCCTTCTCACCATGATGGACTGATCCCTTCTTAAACTGTGAGCCAAAATAAATACTGCCCTTAGATTTCTTCTGCTGGGTATTTTGTGACAAGAAAAGTAACTAGTACAGCAGCAAGTGAGCTTACCCCTAATATCATCAGAAAAACCCACAACCACATACAGACTGCTTTGTTCAGCTACACACAATGCAGTCTGGTACACTTAGCACTTTCTCATTCATGTACAGATTTTGGTTTGGTTTGGTTTGGTTTGGGTTTGGGTTTCTTGTGGTGTTTTTTCTTATCCCTGATACATTGCTTCTCCACAAGGACCTGTCTGTCTTTCCCCAGAAGCAGTACCTAGAATAGGGGAGTCTGGTCTACTGTGTCAGTGTTTTATACTGCTGGGTGAGGGGTGCTAACCACCTGTTTAAAGTCCATTTGCTTTCACACATGGCTGGAACTACTACGCTCTGCTGTCACTGTCCCAGGCAGTGTCAGATTTTTGTTTCAATTCTGAAAGATGTGGTAACATTTCTTACTCTTTTTTGGTTTATTCGAGACAGGGTTTCTCTGTGTAGCTTTGTGCTTTTCCTGGAACTCACTTGGTAGCCCAGGCTGGCCTCAAACTCACAGAGATCTGCCTGCCTCTGCCTCCCGAGTGCTGGGATTAAAGGCGTGTGCCACCACCGCCCGGCTCATTTCTTACTCTTATCAGAGTACGTTTTATTCCAAACAGTAGTACAAGAGGTGAGCTGAGAGTTAACCATCCTAGTTACCCAAGGTCTACACAGAAAAAGTAGTAGCCTCCTTAGAAAGGAAGCTGGCTTTTCAAAAGCCAGGGGAAACTCTGGTCTAAAGAAAACGGAGACAGGAAAGGACGATGGTGTGATAGGTGTTGAATCTCTCCCTGTTTGGCACTGTTTCCAGCTTACCAATACCATCTTCCACCAGTAGGTACCTACAGGGTATATGCGCTCATGTGGGAAATTCAGAATTTTCTAATCTTTACTATGAGGACCTACATCAATCAGGCTGATGGAATGATGTGACTAGCCCCCTAAATACCAAAATCCAAGTTTGCGATCTGCTGAGCAAGAAGTGATAATATCTCCCTCCCCTGTTGCATGGGATCAAATGGTTCAGATGTCAGCTCTGTGAACAAGACAGAGCATTCCGTAAGTGTGACACGATAACGTTTCCATAGCCAGCGTGGGCAGCACAGCAGCTCCACTCTTGCAGTGCGGGCACAGGGATTGACCGTCACACAGGCATACACATCGCGAGCATCCGTTCCCTAGGAAGTCCTGATGTCTAAGAAGTTGTAGTACAGATTTGCCTCTAAAATGTTCCTTAAGGACTTCCTGTCTGACCCAGTTCTGAAAACAGCAGACATTATCAGTAAGTGAGCCTTTTGTCCAGCATCTGTTGCAGGGTCCAAACGTGAACATCTCTTCATGATCCTCAAGTTTGTGCAAAATGTGTATTCCAGCTTATTTAATGCTGAGATGGTCTCTTGTTTCCATATGTTAGAGATATTGAATAACCCTTTCAGAATAGGTAAACATTTCTAGTCCTTTTAATCAGAAATTAAGTCAAAAATACTTAATCCTGGTAAACAATATGCACAGTATACTAGTATTGAAATCACTACAAATTCCTTCTACAAAGATGTTCAAAGCATTTGCTTCCTTGACTCTTGCACCCTTAATAATCCACATGGGGCCTAGGGCAGAAGCATTCGAAATGGTTAGTGAATGAATGAATGAATAAATGAACAAACGAACCACTGATGTTACAAGCTCTTTACTATGAAAGTGTTATCCCTAACATTAATGAAACAGCATTATCTTTGTTCAGTGTTACTAAATGCTTATCATCAATAATTCTAGACTAAAGAAAAATAAACATTTTAAAATATTTTAATGCATCATGCTACATAAAGCATATTTCCTTGGTAATGAAATTTTGTTTTAGACTAAAATAAAGAATAATATGAACTCTGTTCTGAAAGAAAGAATAAAAGGCTCATTTATTTGGGGATTTTCCCATCCTTGGACCTGCCTAACTCTTGGCAAGTTACATTCTCAGTCTCTCCAAATACATCATCATTTTGAAGCCACGATAGAATATATCTAGTTACAGTGCTTCTGCCTGAGGCTAGTACTTGACTGAAATTCTAGTTGAGTAAAGTTTAAAAAGAGACAATTATACATGAACTTTGGTAGATGCTAAATTCTGAGAATAAATCACTGTCCTTTTCTTCCTAACCAGTGCTTCTCTTTGCCCCAGCATTTTTGAGTGGTTTTGCATTGGCTATAATCAGAACCCAAACCCCACATCATTTTGGGAAATTACACAGGAAAGTCTACTCAGAGGAGATCTGTGTTAATTATGCTACATATTTGTTTTATTATTTGTTTTTTAGAAAATGGAAATAGCACGTTAAAATTATCGATGCTTCTGGAAAATGTCAGTAACAAAAAACTCTCATGTTGCTGATGCTGAGTTTTAAAGTTAAGCAGGAGGAGCGTTTCAAAAGTGACAACTGGTAACTACAAAAAGAACTAGTTACTTGGACTATTTGTTTTTAAGGAGTTGACAAATAGGACTGTGTCATCGTAAGAAAGGCATTTTATCTGCACAATTGGAGCATCGCCATGATTAACACCCTGTGCATATCCTCCTTAATGCAACCCTCATGCCATGGAACATGTGAGTGTAGTTTGGCAATATCTGCATTGTGCCTGTTCTAATATTTCCTGACACTTGTTTTTAATTAAAAAAAAATTTTATTCATTTTTACATACCACCACAGATCCCCCTCTCATCCCTACTCCTGCTACCCCCACCCCTGCTTAACTGCCCCCCCATCCCTCCTCCCCTCCTCCAAAAGGGTAAGTTCTTCCCTGGGGGGACAGCAAAGCCTGGTACAGTCAGCTGAGGTAGGACCCAGCCCCTCCCCTCTGCCAAGGGTGAGCAAGGTGCCTGACCCTTTTTTAAAAGATGATCACTGGTCACACTATGAAAAGAGAATGCATAAATAAGACTCAAGCCTCTTAAGTACGCACATGCCTCTGTTAAATGAGCTTCTGTTCCATATCCGAAATTTCCTAGCCATCCAACACCTTAGATTATGCTCCCGTTGAGCACACGGAGCTGAGCTGCCACAGTATTCTCTCCAGCAGCCTGGAGTCACTTCTCCTTTATACTGATGTGTGATGTACCTGTGGATATCCAATCAGCCTCAGAATAGTGAGCTGCAGTACAAGTCCATAATTAGCATTGCTTGAGACTTTTGAAAATGTAACTTCCAAAACCTGCTCTGTTCTCTAGCCCCCCATTCAAATCCTAACATCACAGAAATAAATATAAATACAGTAAAAAGAATACATTCTAGTCATCATCTGGAGATGCCGATCTCTTCTACCATCTCTCATGAAAGGGGAATTCTCTGACCCAGCAACTCCAGTATGCTCCTCCATTTTCATCACACGATGATCTGAAACTGTATGTTGATCATTTGTATTTACAAAATCCGACCACTAACAAGAAGAGTCACATACTCAAACCTCTCTTTTTACTTTTGACCATTTTTCTTACTCTTAAGAGGATAATAATTTAACATTTCCTTTTAATTTTCTCTCATTGCCTACAATGTGACAAAGCTCACTGTCAGAATAGGACCTCAATTTTGCAACGGGCTCTTACCTATTTTAGACTGGAAGACATCCTACATAAACTCTGAATCATACCTGAGACTTCCTCCCTCCCCCTTGCGTAATTTCCCAGGGATCTTGCTTCTGGAGAGCATGACCATTCCCAGCTGCTGGATAACACAGAAACATCCCAGTGCCCTGCTCAGTCAGGACAAGGACACTTAGCTTACCATGCAGGTGCCTTTGTTGGGTCACTCCTGGCAGATCTCTCTTCTGATCCCTGTCAGAATCCAGTAGTGGAACCTGAGCACCCAACAGCGTTTTCTTTTCTTTTTGGGAACCCTCTCAGTCCTCGTTTTAGGGGCTTCAAAGTCACTGAGAGTTGGCAAAGAGGGACCAGTGACAGTTCTGCAGAGGGGATGCAGCAGAGAGCCCAGCACCAACTGGGCCCAAACACTAAATATAACCTTCTTTCCTTGCTGGGCAACGTCCTTCATACTCCGAAGACAGGCGACCTTGCCGAAACGCTCACCCCGCAGCTTTGCCCGTCTCCACTGAAGAAAGGGTCTACCCAAACTGGGCTGCAAGATTAGGCGACCCTAAGGCCAGAACTCCTCTGCCCACAGCACACGAGGAGAGGCAGGTATAGGCACTCTGAGAGTGTCTGCGTGTTCCGGTGTTTGTGTATTTGCATGCCTGTAACCAACAGCTGCTCTCCAGATTAGAAGACACCACTCGTTGGCAAGCATCTCTGAAACCTCCTCCTGGGTCATTTCAGATTCATGTGCACATCCTGGATGCGGGGTGAAACTGCTGGGCACAGCCTAGGTCCTCTTCTCTGCCATGTTGCTGCCTGAAACCTACTGTGAGCCCTAGCCAGCAGTGCTGGCCTACTAGGAGCAGATACCCAGACAGACAGTAGGTTGCCCCTCATTTTGTGTCCTGCAGCTGTGAACTGATGTAGGCTTCGTTTGAGATTTGAGTAACGAAGCCATGACCCCTTATTTGACAGCCATAACCCAAGGCACTGTACGCAGACACTCACATTATTAACGCTGTGTTGCTCTTTAATTTGAATGCCTGCCCATTCCATTTAGTGTTACAGAGGACTGGAGGGCAAATTGCTAAGAAAGCGCTGCAGCAACACCCAACACCCAAATGTATAATAGATTTTTATTGTCATATATTATTCAGGGGTTACTGGAACTTTGTATTTTAGAGTTCTAAAATTAAAAGGCTCAATTTAGTTTTCTCTTGGTATCACTTATACGGGTGGGGGAGTGAGATGGAGGGGTTTGTTCATTGATTTGGCAAACACTCTTTGCAGCACCATTCAGATACCAGATCCGCTACCGCACGTGCCTGCCAGCTGCCTCAGATTCAGCTTGTGTGTGATCTTATTTAATCCTCGTGGCCTCCTTTTAATTGAGCCTCGTTTCTAATGCTCAGATGAGAAGGTCAAAGACAGCAATCATTAAGTGACTGCCTGTGTCTTACACATGATGGACATTCCACTGGGAATTCAGAGTTGGATGTGAGTCCCTCCAAAGAAACCATATTCTTGCTTTCGTTTTGTTTTTAGGGGTGTGGAGGGGGGGGTGGGTTGTAGGTCAGAGGACAACTTGTGAGAAACCATTTCTCCTTCTGCCGTGTAGGTCTGAAGAAACAAATTAAATGGCTTTACCCCCGAGCCCTCTCACCAGTTCTGTCCTCTTTACTTTTGATTACTAGCACTGAAGTAAGTTCAGACTCACAGGAAGTATGTGCCGCGTGCATAAGATACAGTAATTCTCTACTTTTTAACAGTTTATGTTGCATCTCCTCCCACCTCTGTGGGGTTTGCATGTGTGTGTTGTTTCCTGCATTGATTTGTATAATCACGGCACAACAATCAAAATCAGTAAAGTAACACTGATTTATTTCTGATCCATTAATCCCATTCAAGTCGTCTCAAAAGTCTTATTGATATTCTTTAAAATACCTTTTAGTCTGTGGTTATGGGATGCATTTAATTATCATGTCTAGTTCAAATTGAGGTGTACTATAATTGTGAAATGTCTATAATTGTGAAATGTCTAGTGAACTTCAACAAATTAGCAAACATAAAATATCTCAATGATTTTTATACTAATTATATGTTGAAGTTACAAAACTTCGACATATTAAATAGAGTACATTTTTTTATCCAAAAGGCAGATACAATCCAAGTGTTCCTGAAGTGACTAGGTAAGTACAGAATTACTCCAGCTTAATGAAAGAGAGTTCAAGCCAGGCTACAACCCAGATGAGCCATGGAGACTTTATCTCCAGTGAAATAAGCTAGGTTCAAATCCACAAATGCTGTTGGTACTTTCGTGAGTTATCTAGAATTGTCAGATTGACAGAAACAAAGTAAAATGGGGTGACTAAGGACTCTGGAGTGGAGCAAGAAGTGTGGAGAGTTGTCCCATTAGAACAGAATCTCACTCCAAATGATCACAGTCCTGGAGACTCATCGTGATGACGGTTGCACACAGGTAGAATTATACATATTGCCACTCACTGGTGCATGCAGAACAGGTTCAGTAGTGATTCTCCCTGCATAGAGAGCTGAAGAAAGACACTTTTTTACTTAAAATTATAACCAGGCTCGAGCTGTATAAGTCACTTGTGAGTCAGTCACCATTCATGGTTTTATTGCTCCTCATCCCACCTATACAGTATCATCTGAGCCTCTGTCCAAGTACCAATAGTTGTCACTTCTTGTATACCTTCTAAAATGTGATATCCTAAATCCCTGTCTCACGCGTAAACATGAAATTGTATGTGTCCGTTAATTCTGTTTCAAAACCTGAACTAATGACAGGGACTCCAAGACCTTCCTGTAGCCTCCTTGTCACGGTAGCTGCTGAAAACAAAATGAACATTTGCACATGGATATGCGAAGGGACTGGGCACTCCCATGTACACAGCAGAACAGAGTCTCTACTCACAGTGACCAGTCAGCCCCAGGAAGCAAGAGTCCAGGACAAAGTATTTCTAGTCTCCGAGTGATTTCTTCATTAACTCTCTGTGCTTGTCTCCTCTTCTGCGGTAGTTTGGCACTGAAACTGATGCTACCATAGTTCCATTTAGTACCGATACTTTTCAGGTCTGTGACTCAATGATTTAAAGTGACTCATGAAAGCCTCCCTCTGCTTTTTTTGCTAGACTTGTACAAGTGGTCACTACTACAAAGGTCTAGAGCTGGTTCTGGTACAATGAGCTTTAAACTAGTATTTTCTCCATCTTTTTTCTTTCAGTGAATTGTGAAAAGTGGGTTCTGATCACAGGACACTAAAGACAGTTCTTGCACACCCCCCACTAATGCCTAATTTTTCTTAATTCTTATCCTAGATCTCATCTTTCCCATTGGCCCCTCTGCATGCCAGGGTAATTATGCGTCCTCTGCTGTTCTCCCAAAGCCTAATCATGTTTCCCTCAATCCCAAGGTAGTGCACTTGCCAGCATGCTTATCTTTGCCAGACCAAGACGGGAGGTCCTGGAGTACAGATTGCCCCCTCCTGGCCCCCAGCAGTCAGTGCACATGAAGAATGATGGAGCATCACAGAATGCTTCTATGGGTAAACAGACGATGAGGTAGCAACTCCGGGGCTGGAGAGCTTTGAGTCACTTGTCAGGACAGAGCATGTGACACAGGGTTGTAGCGCTTGTTCCCTACGTTCGAGGGTCTGGGTTCAATCCCTGGCACTGATCAGAGGTGGTTGTTGAACTGCATCGCAGTGACCTATAAAATGAGGAGTAAGAAAACTATACTATTTTAAACATTTCTAGCAGACAGTTTATTACCAGCAAAAATTACAGGTTTAAATTTCATTTATGACCCTTTTCTTATTGTTCTATAAGGGTAGGATCAAAGACAAATGTAAAAATAAATGTATGGGCAATCCACACAGTAGGAAAGTATTACCAAGAAAAAAAAAAAAAAAACTGCTAGAATAAGCAAGACTCTGGTCCTTCAAAATGTACCTGAGGCAGTGTTATGGAATGATAAATATTTTAGGCTTCACATTTTTCTGAAGTGAAAAATGATAGTAGCAGGCTAAGTTCTTGGGTTTTTTTTTTGTTTGTTTTTTGGTTGGTTGGTTGGTTGGTTGGTTGGTTGGTTGGTTGGTTGGTTGGTTGGTTTCGGGGTTTCTTTGGGGGGGATGGGTTTTTTTTTGTTTTTTTTTTGTTTTTTTTTGTTTTTGGTGTGTGTGTGTGTGTGTGTGTGTGTGTGTGTGTGTGTGTGTGTGTGTGTTGAGCAAGATGTGTACTTGACCTCTGAAAATTGTTGTTGCCAGTCATCTGCACTCTCAGGTTCCTAGGGGCAATTTCTCCATGTGCTTCTAGAATGCCGAGGTAGCAGGTGGCAGCCGCGTCAGCGCTGAGACACGTTCCTCTGGTGACCTATCTCAGCGTCTTACACAATGCTCCTCCACGGGCAGAGCCGCCCTCCCTCCACAGCCTCGTTCGTTTGTGTCACCACACTGTTCTGTCACGTCTGCACCATGCCCTTCCATGGGCCTTGGTCCTTTGAAGATTAGAGGGGCGGGGGAGAGACGATTCCAGCCGCAGTGCAAAGTGAACCAGCATGTCAATACAAAAGTACGGGAATTGTCTTTCTCTCCGCTCATCCTTTTAAAATGTTATCTCTTGCTAATCTTATTTTCCTTCTTAATTACACATATTATAAAGAATTGAGCCAGCTGAAACTTTTTCAGATCAAACCTTGCTGTAGTTTGAATGTGATTGGCTCCCAGAAGCTCATGAGAAGTGGCACTATTAGGAGGTGTGGCCTTGTTGGAGTAGGTGTGGCCTTATTGGAGGAAGTGTGTCACTGTGGGTGCAGGCTTTGAGGCCCTATGCTCAAGCTTTGCTCAGCTGTAGTGTGACCCTCAGACTACTTCTTGTTGCCTGTGGGTCAAGAGGTAGGACTCTCAGCTCCTCCAGCACCATGTCGGCCTACACACAGTGCCGCACCATGATGATAATGGACTAAACCTCTGAAAATGTAAGCCACCCAGTTAAATGTCTTTCAACTCTTATGTTTTTAAGGTAAGACATGCTATGGTCATAGTGTCTCTTCACAGCAATAGAAGCCCTAACTAAGACACTTGCCTTAGCCCCTATTGATTCTGATGACAGAAAAGACAGTTATGCATGTCAGTAAGCATCTGTTAAATTCACTTACCTGAAACTGACTGACTTCCCACAACACATTGTCGGGAATTGTGCCGGTTATTGGTACTACAGAGTCAAAAATTTATCCCATCCATTGTGAATTCCATCTAGTGAGAGGGGCAATCATGCCAGTTCCAGGTTTCAATGGGGCTGTGCATTT